GCGTGTGTAGTTTCTAGAATCACAGCAGGAGTCTCCCCACTCTGCAAAGTCTGAGAACTACTAAGACTCCCAGGGACAGGCGGAGGAAGACAGGGTAGGGAAGAATGCGTAAAGAACAAGTCTCGAGCTCCCATTTTCTTTATAATTTTTAGAGTGCACTGTGGCTTGACTCATGCTTTACTCCCTGAAGAATAATGCAGACTGTGTGTGCTGCATTCTATCTTACAGATGAAGAACCAAGGTCTAGCAGCTAGAGGACACACTGGGGCCCAGCAGCAGTCAGTAGCATGGCATAAGGCTGCCAGCCCCCTAAATTCCAGCCTAACACTAGCTCGGCAGCGTGCTGACCTGCCAGCCTTGATTATCACCCAGCCATTTGCCTCCCTCCCTCTTTCCTCCCTTTCCCATCAGGTATTAAGTTTAATTAAATTAGCAGAGCCCCTTCGCAACAATCCTGGCCCTGCTGCCTGGATAGTACCCAGCAAGTGTGGCTCTTCCCTCTAAATTCTGCTTCGATAGAATTCAATCTGCAATAAGTCTCTGATCTCTTATGAAGTGTTTCCCACAAAGCAGAGTGTGTCGCCTAGACTCAGGGCTCGTGGTGGCCCGTGATGATTTCATTTTCCATATAACTTCCTCTGCAGCGTCGTTTTCCCCCTCTCTGGCCTGGGATCTGCATTTTGTTTGATCCAGACGTTCTCATTCACATGCCGTCACCTCTAGCAATTGCATCACACATTTATATATATCTTACAGTGCTGCAGTCCGTGTGCCGCACGGCACAGGAAAAAGGAAAACTTATAACAGCATTTCTCACCCTCCTCCAGCTAATTTAGAAAATGTGCTCCAGATTAAATAAATCAGGAACAAAAGTCTAAAATTGGAGGTAGAATTTCTGAAAGGTGGAGGGGCTAAATAAATAGCAAGGAGATCTTGCAACATGTTGGAAGCCTATAAATTTTATTGGATGTTTCTTTAATAAAAACAATTTCAATTGCTAATAGCACAGTATTATTAAGCCTCTAACGTTTAAAAATCTAATTTTCCCCTGTTCTGTGGCTGTTTATGTTGCCCGTCGCTTTCAGGAAAGGTAAGGAAGTCAGGCTGATCGCTTTGGTTTGGTTCCTAAATCAGACTAATGGAGACCCCTTTAAAACTCAGCCTTTCTGCTTTCTAGGCATGCCTTGGTCTCTAATGAGTCACAGCCCCAGGTTGAAGATGGACATGGCAGAAAGAAATTTAACACACACTGCGGTGTACCCATAAACTTCAAGGCCAGGGGAGAGGAGGTATGTTTCCAGTTAAGCGAGGCTAGAACTCCATGAATTCAGGATTCTCCCCTCACAAGACAGTAATTCTCCTTATTTCATCACTAACTTACTTCAAATGTGTTTATACAATTTATTGCTACTGAACTTCCAGGCAACTAGTGTAGAGTTAATGAAACCCAGCTTGGAGAAGCTTTAAGCTTTGAACAACTAACCACAGTTTAAATGGTTATGACATGCGGTCAAAGCCACAGCCCGGCCCCACTGCAGTTTCTGTGTTAAGACCTAGTCAAAAACCTTGTCATCTCACCTTTTGTGCCAAAGGCATTGAAAAGGGGGGAAAGAAAAAAAAAACCACTACACACCAGCCTGCCTTGGTTCTTCTCAAGATTGCCAGTCATTTAAATACATTTATCTTGCTGAGCTCAATGCCAAGCCCCTCCCCAGTGCCGGAGTAAATATTTTAGTTGCAGTTTGAATTGGCAGTGAGGCTGAAATCCTAAAATCCGGTTGGGGTTGAATTGAACGTGGCCAGGCCTACCTAAAGCAACGTGAGAATGGGCTACTGCCAGGAGGTACCAAGTAACATTTAAATCCAGGTTCAGCGAAAGCCCGGATGAAAGCGAGCAGGGAAAGAAGTAAACTCATCTTTCTGAATTACCTGTACATTGACTTATTAATCCTCATTGTCATGGCGTCCTCCCCCAAGCTCTGCCCCTCCGGGAACTCCAGCAAGCTCCCTCTCTCCGAACAGGCCCATTTGGGAAGAGTAAAGGGGAGGTACTGGATTTGTCACTGCCGCACAATAAAAAGCTCCCTTTGAAAGCAGCACTTTCATTAACTTAAAGCAATCTACAGACTTAAAAGCACAGAGCAGTAAACTCCCAGAAAGGATCATAAAACAGCCAGTCTCCAGTTGGGTATCCTTCAGTGCAATTTGCACGAGGCATTTTACTGTGAGCCGTGGTCGGGCCCATCTCCCTCCAGTAAGCCCCTGGCCCTTACTCAAAGCAGCTCCTCTTTCTCTCTGCTTTCATGCCTTTCGCGCTCACAAAGAGGAGGCGGTGACCGGGGAGTCTCCATGGGGTCACGGCTCCCCCCCCCCCCCCCCTCCCCGGGCTCTTGGCGGGAGAGCGAGCGCACGAATTCCAAGCCTGAAAAACAACAGCCTTGGAGCACCGCCGCGGAGGCGGTCGCCGTGCCCCGGGCCGCCTTGGCCACTCACAGGTCGCGCGGCTCCAGGTCCTGCCAGGGCTTTTCGGCTCGCCCAGCTAGGAGCCCGCTGCTGGGGGAGGGGGACGCTTAAAACTGCATGGAGGAAATCTTAAACCTGGCTCCCCTGCACTGCCCCTCCAACTCTTTCGCTAGTTCCCCAAAGATAACCTCCCCCCCCCCCCGAGGTGGGGACTTCCCACCCCACACCCTGGAGCTAGGCCTGAGCCACACAGGGCGTACTGAATGGGTGATTCTGGGTCCAGAGACAGAAGACAACACACACACACACTCTTCCACCACGGTGCTGGGGCTTCGGAAGAGCAAAGTGAGAGGGCCAGGATTGGGGCTTAGGACTCTTTGAATACCATCATTTGTCAGATTGGGGTGGGAGGTGGTCATTTAAATCTGCCTAATATGAGAAGCATTTGGCTTCCACGAGTTAGAGAACATTTGAAATCCAAAAAGTCAGTATTCTTGAGAAGTCCTGTGACAAGGCAGGTGAGGACAGGGGACCCCGAACTTCCTCCAACCCTTGGGGCAGAATACGCACTGGAGCTAGGGCTCGTGGACTTCCCGGCAGGGTCTGGGGAAGCGCAAAAGGCACTTGGCGATTAGGAGGCGGCTCCGGGATGGGTCGCCTGCCGGAGGTGGAGTCCACCCTGCCCTCCCGCAGCGACTTCTCCAGCGCCTGGTGGCCCCCAGCGGCCGGCGCTCCCCTCCCCCACCGCAGGCCGCGGCCCCTGAGCGCAGACAGCGCCCGCCCGCCGCACAGCGTCTGCAGACCCCAAGTGGATCCCGCTGGGCAGCCGGGGTTCAGTCAGAGTCCGGCGAGGCCGCCTTGTCGTTTCTCCAAGAATGTCCCTTCGATCTGTCCGCTTCCCGGAATCTCTCCTAGGATCGAGTCCTGTGTGCCCAAATCTCTTCCTCCAGATACGCGTAGAGGACGTGCAGCAGACATTCTGGGCGCGCGGGCCGTGGCTTAGATCAACTACTTTCATCTCCTACCTAAACGCTTTTCTGGGACTAGAATCGCGACCTTTCCCAAATTCCAACAGCTTGAACCCTCAAAGAAGAGTCGTCATCCTGTGGCTGAATCCTAAGAACGCCACGCATTCCCTCTATCTCGGCCTCAGAGCTAACCCTAGGTCTCCCAACTGAACCTTTAGTCCTCGGCTCTGGCCGGCGTGTAAACTACTCAAACGGCCCTTCAGTGTCAATTCCGAAAACAGCCTGGATGCTACAACCCAAACTGCAGCCACCCTAAAGCACAGCCTAACTCAGAGCTGACCCATAACCCCTCTCCTCCCCACCGCGCGGGAACCCCGGCTCTCTTGCGAGCAGCTCCCCCCAAAGGGCGGCCCACTGCGCTTGTTTCTTCCTCGGGTTTGGGAGCCTAGAGAACCCTCTCGCCCAACCCGAAGAAAACAAACTTTGCGCAGCAGACTGGGGATTCTGCCTCTTCCCCCTTAGCTTTTGGCTCTTTTGCGCTTTCCATCTCCCTTTCCCCCCAGGATTCGTCCCTTATTTCAAGAGCCAGGCGCTCCCCCCATTCCCAAGCTTCGACGCGAGCCCCAGTTTTTCTTCTCCCCTCACCAAAGACCCCCCAGCAATCCACGCAGAACCGGTGACCCTACAAATTCTCGCTCCTCCGAGGGCTAGGGTCCTGAGCATGGCGCCTCGGCCCCGGATTCCCGACCCTACAATGTTTCCCGGTCCACACTGAACCGTTCTGCAAAACCTCCCCGGGCCTGGCGGGACGCGGCCGCAGCTCTCTACTCCAGCTACCTAGCCGCAGGCTGGGGCTGCTCCGGTTTCCAGACGCTTGCAAGCAGCGCCGGGCTGGTGACGCGGAGGAAGCGCCGGCCCCGGAGCTCCCGACGCCGGAGGGGAGCCTGGAGCCGGTCCGCGCTTCCCCGCCTCGCACCGCGGAGCGCGCAGCCCGAAGCCGCCGGCGCCTGGACTCCGGCCGGCGCGATTCCTACGCTCGGACGCGCCACTGCCCGCCCGCCCGCTACAGTGTTCAGGCCCGCGGCGGCCGGAGTCCACCGCCCGGCTCCTCGCCCCTGCGGACAATGCGCGCACGGCCACGGGC